AGATACTTCATTGAGGTTTTGAAATCTGTAGTCAGGCCTTAGAATATTGAGAGGACTGTTGAACAGTCCTCACAACTGTTGAACATGGATAGTTCAAACCAAAAGAGAGGTCAGAGCTTGAGATGGAGATGCCTGAGTATTTCACATGAAAGGATTCTGGGCTCTTTGGGATGGCAATTCTCATAACAATAATTTTGCTGGTTAGTTGATTTCCAAAGACCATCCCAGGATCTTGGGGTCACTGTCCTGGGAGGCTCACCCCACATTGGCACATTGGGAAGGATCCTCTGAGATAATATTTTCTGGATCTGTTGTGTTCCTGGGAAGTGAGTAAGATATCACCCAGATGCAGTTGTAAAAAGGGACTCTGTCTCTATCCATGTGATGAAGATTCCTAGCAGGGAGGGAGCCCTGGGGCATCCATAATCAAATTGAAGTAAGGAGCTCTGTGACCTCCGGGGAAATATGTTGATAATTTTCTGGACTGTCTAAAACATTTAAAACCCCAGGAATGGTGATTTTATTTTCTGTATTCTCCTTGGGACTTGAGTTTCATGAAAGCATTTGCTGTCTTTGTTTTCCTTATTAAATTAGCAAGACCGACTTAAATCAGAATATACCGTTAGGACTTGAAATGTTGCTGAAAGAACAGAATAGATGGGCTTGACAGATGTCTCGGGTTCCATTTGGGTTACGTGGGGGCTGAGGGGAGAGAGTAGGACTTGCTGAAGTAGTTGTGTTTTCCCTGATAAAAGTCAGAAAAGAAAAATGTGGACCAAAACAAAGGAATATCGTGAAAGGAAGTTATGCTGGTTTATGGCAGGTCATATTTTGTTTTTCTGAATAGAGCTGGCCATAGGATTCCCTTAAGCATTTTTGTTTATTTGCTTGTTTGTTGGGGGATAGGGGTATTCTTATTTTTTTTTCTTTTTGGTGCCTTGTTTTTCTGTACTTTAAATCATTTTCACACTTAAGAAATAACTACCTCAATCCCATTACTCTCGATCCCTTACTCTCATTCTCTCATTTCCATTTTACAGGCACTTTCCCTAGCACTTCCTCTGCAAGCTTTCAGAGTGGGCTTTCTAAAATATAAACCTGATCCTGCCAGTTCATTGCTAAAGAGCTTCAGTGGCACTAACAGCGGATGTCAGCATACGTTTTCTGTAAAGGACCACTAATAAATAATTAAGGTTTCGTGGGCCATGCAGTCTCAGTTAAAACTACTCAGCTCTGCTATTGGAGCCATAGACAGTATACAAACCAATTATTGTGGCTGTGCTGCAAGAAAACTTTATTTACAAAAAAATGCTGGATTTAGCCATTGGACCAATCTCTGGCCTATAGGATACTCTTGATGCTTGGGCCTGGCATTCAAGAACTTTTGCCGTTTAACCTCAGCCTGAACAACTGAGTTCCCATTCCCATTCTTCTCAAGCCTCTGAACAAATGATGGTCTTTAAAAAGGTTCTCTCCGTTTCCCTCTCTCCCTGTTTCCTCCATTTGGATTGCCATCTTCCCTGGCTTCTTAGTGTTTTGTGAGTGGGCTCTCCATGCCCCACCTTACACAAAGCTCTCTCCTCCCAGGCCAAGTCAGCCCCATTCTCTGCATGCTAAAGTTCTTTATGCCTCGAGTGTAGCTTTTGCAATGTAGCTACTCCTCAACTGGAGGTGGAGGGAGCTTAGCACCCACTGAACAAATGGCCGTGAAGTTAATCCATCAGTGAAATTGTGAGCCTCTTAATCATAGGAGAGTATATTAACTTGTGAGTAAAAGAAAACACTGCAAACCCCAGATATGCCACAGGAAGCCAGGGGCCAGTGTTACTGGAAAGGGGACGAGGTCAGACATCAGGAACACAGCTGGGTCAAAACCAGCAGAACGACTGCAGCCAGGACTATCCGGGAGCCTTTGGGCAACAAGCTCATGGTGCCGGCAGGGGTGTGAGTGAGGAGGGAGGGAAGCAGTGTCTAGTTCAGGGCATCAGGACCAGGATGAAGATGCAGCCTGCTGGAGAGAGATCAGAGAGAAGCAGCCAGCATGATTAATGGGATGGAGGGACTGACTCATGAGGAAAGATGAAAGCACCCCAAGGAGATGGGGTAGAGGACCGACAGGGGCAGATGAGAGCAGGCTGCAAGTATGTCAGATGGATAAAACACCCAGGAGGGAGCAGCTGGCTTCATCAGGGAGGTGAAGATGAGGGCTCCATCAGAGAATGGGGGTGGGGGACTCAGAAAGGGCATCGGGGGCTCATGGAAGCTCGAGAAATGACAGATGGGCCCAGGACAGCTCTGGGCTATTAGAGGGAGAAACACCATGTAAAGACTACCCTGGAGTGACTCTTTTGGGGAGTCCTGATGCTCTACCCTGTAGGGCCTTGCAGCTTGCCCTTGGCCCTGAGAGGTAACTTTAGCCTTACTCTGTACTTGACAGCCTGGCGGGGGCTGGCCAGGGAGGGCTGCGGGAGGGGAGCCGTAAAGGGGCACACAGAGAAGGACAGATGAACTAATTTCCCACCCTCCTCTTAGATACAGGTTACTGGTTGTCACGACAATTTCGAGGCCTCTCCTCTGAAGTCAGTTTTCAGCCAGCCCCAGCTTGTCTTTGGTGAAACTAGAGATACTTGTTCCAAGCCCAGCACTCACCCTCGCCCGCCGGTGTATCTGATCAAAATTCAGCCCAAACCCTGTTTCGAACCCCGCACCCTGGCCTGTCAGGCATTTGGAAGATGAGATTTATTTGAAATGCAGTCAACTACCTTCAGACTCAAAATCAGCTTCCTTCAGGCATTCTCTGAAGTTTTCTCTGATGCCGAGAAGAGCAGCTTGTGTTGTAGCCTGCCCACACGGCCCACGTGACAGCAGGTCCCCAACAGCTAATTTACTAAAGCCATCCCCCACCTCGGCCATGTGTGAGAATCATCTGGGACACTTCTAAAACATACCCAAGCTAGCTAGGGTGACTCATGCCTGTAATTCCAGCACTTTGGGAGTTTGAGGTGGGCGGGTCACTTGAGCCCAGGAGCTCGAAACCAGCCTGGCCAACATGGTGAAACTTCATCTCTACAAAAAATGCATAAATTAGGCAGGCGTGGTGGTGCACACCTGTAATCCCAGCTACTTGGGAGGCTGAGGCATGAGAATCATTTGAACCCGGGAGGCAGAGGTTGCAGTGAGCTGAGATCACACCATTGCATTCCAGCCTGGACAGCAGAGTGAGACTCTGTCTCAAACAAACAAAACCATACTTAATCCTAGACCCTCACCCCCAGAAATTCTGATTTAAATAGTCTTGGCAGGGAAGGCTAAGGCACTCCAGCATCAGCATTTTTTCTTAATGTTCCCCAGATGGTTCTAATGTCTTGAGTACCATCCCTGAATAACCCTTTGAGTGTGATTATAATTCACATAGGTGTTACTCTTCTATGTTTCTCTGTAACTGCTGACTATAATATCACTTGCAAGTTTTTTTAAAAAAGCAAGCATTTATGGTGAGTCATCTGTGTACTCAGAATCTTGCTGGGGGCAGGAGTAGAGCAGGGAGCAAGAACAGATCCTCACTCTTGAGGAATTTGTGGTCCAAAGAATGAAAGACACTTAGAGCAGAGCAGAATGAGCCCGGGGTACTGACCTGGTGCATTTCAGAGGCTTTTCACATTCTGCGTGTTGCAGCCATGCTCTGCTCTAGTCTTATCCTGGAGTCTGAATTCTAAGTCCAAAGACAGATGGCAAATCTCTCCCAATGTACACAGCCTGTTAACCTTTACTCTCAGGGCTTGCTGCAACAATTTCTTTAGGAAGTAGAAATGCCCTTGATAGTTATTTGGGTAACAAAAGCTCAAGACCTTTATGAATCTCCAAGTTCCTGAACCCAGCACAACAATGATTACCAAAATGGGAGGTCCAGTATAGTGGCATGCAAAATTTTAAGAGTATGTAAGTGATTTTTTTTTCTTGCAATTGTGTATTTGTTATGATGGGTGTTACAATATTATTTAGGTTGAATTACTGTAGGTCTTTAAGCAAAAGACAAATGTGAAAAGATAGGTAAGCGTGTTGGTGGTATGCAGATACAGCAAAAATTCGGAGGTTGTATACAACAGGCTGAAGTTTGCAAAACTGCCCTGGGGTACATTACGTGCTCCAGGGAGTTCAGTGTTTCCTGCAGCCTCCTCCTTCCAAACTCCTCTAAGGTTTTCCCAACATCTAAGGAGCATTTTGCCCTTATCATTTCACTTTCTGAAACGGTTTCAAGTCTTTCAAGTGGTTTGGGCTTCATGGAGAAAAAACAACTTTTCATGTTATAGTTTTGAGTTCCATTATATTCACTTCCCAGAGTTTCAAGTCACTTTCTTAGCCTCTTCTCTTTTTGGATATTTCTGTCACTAGAACTAGCATATTTGGTTGCTTTAGGAAGCTTTTCACAGACAAAGAAAAAATTACATAATTTTACCAGTTTCTTGGGAAAGAAGAACCTTGAGATGTGGACTCTAGGAGGCTGGTTAAACTAAGTCACGTTATAGTAAAGTGACTCACTTCTGAATACCAGACTCATGAGAAGTGCTTTTCAAATGTTACATCTCAAAAACACATGCAGAGTACACATTCTAGACATACAAATGCACACAGTCATAGCTGATAGAGGAACTGACGAAATAGTGATCTTTTGAATATTTTTATTTCCTCTTCCCAGTTTGGGTTGGGGTGGGGCGGGGGCAGGGGTGGAAGTACATGAATTTTAGAAACGCCAAAGTAACATGTCTCCAAAGAGCCATCTGCTTTGTACTGTTTGTTATCTATCGAGAGTTCTATGAGTGCAGGTAAACCTGAGAATTCTTTACCTGAAAGATAAAGTGTTTTAGTTTTATGCTTCACTGTACATTTTATTTGATATGCTTATATCAGCTTCTTGCCATGACAGATAATTTTCAAGGATAATCTTAAATAATTGTGTAAAGGGATCGCTAATGCCTTGTTTTATTTATAATTTGTCCCAGCTGTAGGCATTCAGATGAAACTTGAATTTTTCCAGAGGAAGTTCTGGACCGCCAGCAGACAGGTAAGTTATAATCAGCACCTTGAAGCATTAGCGACACTGTTATTATACAGGTGTTCACATTTGGGTACCTGGAGCCTAAAAGTGCCAGATTTCCGATGAATGTTTGTAAAACGAACTGCTGGCTGCTCAGATTACCTTTCATTTCACTGCAAAATAAAGGGCTGTCAGCATGTTAGACACCACATGCTGAGCAAAGCAGGGAATTTGCTCCTAGGAACAGGTTTTTTTTTTGTGGGATCAAGATAGCGACCTTCCAAAGGAGATTTTCTTGTAAGTATCGAGGCCTTTTGTGTGATTTTCATACTGACTTTCTCCTAATCCTGTGGTTGTGCCTGGTTACTTACTTGTCAATCTCATTATCAAAATTTTGAAACTTTTTGCATAACGAGGTTTGCCAAAACGTGTACCTGACTTCTTTGTTCACTGGGTCTACCTTGGAGAATCTGGGAACATTTTTTTCTTTTTGCTATGCTCTCTGTACTAAGTAATGTCAGTGGTATTTGTTGAATAATCTGGTAGAAAAAGCCACTGATAAGTTGCTTCCATCTGCCCAAGTCTAAATGTTAGAATGGTTTATCATCCCTTAAATTAAGAGACTTTAGGAAGCTATAAACTAAGGAGACAGACAGGGGTTTTTGAAAGTCATTGAGAATTAATGAATTTTTAAATTAAATAATTAAATAATTATATTTTTAGTTACCTAATGATTTGAGATCTTAAAAAGATATCATTAATATTTAACGACAACATAAAGTAGACAAAAAAGAGCCAGCTCCCCCATCATTTTTTTTTTTTTTTTCTTGAGAGGGAGTCTTGCTTTGTCACCCAGGCTGGAGTGCAGTGGTATGATCTCGGCTTACTGCACCCTCCACCTCCAAGGTTCAAGTGATTCTCCTGCCTCAGCCTCCTGAGTAGCTGAGATAACAGGTGCCTGCCACCACACTAGGGTAACTTTTGTATGTTTTAGTAGAGACAGGGTTTCACCACGTTGGCCAGGCTGGTCTCGAACTCCTGACCTCAAGTGATCTGCCTGCCTCAGCCTCCCAAAGTGAGAGGATTAGAGGCATGAGCCACTGTGGCCCGCCTTGCTCCATTGTTTTATAGATCTTTTCTTTTACATTACTACTTGCAACTGATATTAATTCTAGAGACGGTAGACAAGACACATCATGAGGCATTCTGAATGAAATTGGGTATTTGAATTCTAGCACACGAATTGGATAGCTCAGTGGCGGCCATAGCTGTCTAAGTAACATAGTAACATATTTCCCTCTGCTTTTTGCCCTCACAGTGTGCCTCCCTGGATGGCAAATGCTCCATCAGCTGCGATGATGAGGTAAGACAGCCTCCTGGCCTTATTTCTACCCCTGTGGAGAGAAGGTGACATGGTGCTTTATGAGAGAGGGAATGCCCTTGTAAACAGGGCCAGGTTGACACATTACACTGGGTCAATCTAAAAAAAAAAAGTCATTTGCTTTATTTGCTTTCTTATTCCCCCCCACCCCATCAGTTTATGACAACAGCTGGCAATGTGTTTTAAATGTCTCACGGACAGCACTATTGGAATTTTGACATTTTTGTGGGAAATAATACAAATTACTACTGTTTGGAGCTCACATTACAATTCTCAAATTGTTTTCTATATGCCTTAATCTCTTTCCATCCTTGTAACAACCCAGTGAAATAGGAATTGTTGGCCCATTTTGCAGATAAGAAAAACTGAGGATCAGAGAAATTAAGTGGTTCAACTAATTTCATGTAATAAGCAAACAAAAAAATCTAGGAGTTGAAAACTTTGAAACTCAGAATTTTTCTTTCTAGCATACTGCTTCTCTCCTGCAACTCTTTTCTCCTTTTTTCTTTTCTCTCTTTCTCTCCTCTCCTGTCTTCTCTATTCCCTTCTCCCTCCCCTCCCCTCCCCTCCCCTCCCCTCCCCTCCCCTCCCCCCTCCCTCCCTTTTTTCCCCATCCCTTTCCCTCCTCTCCTCTTCCCTCCTCTCCTCCCCTCTCTCTCTTCTCCTCTTCTCTTTATCTCCCTCTCCCTATCTTTTGGGAGGAGGGATTTTAATCCTACACATGAGCAATGCAAGATGAAATTGTGCCGCTATCCAAAGTGTTTCCATCTGCCTTATGTTTTTATGCCATGCCATCCTGTACTCTCTGCCCCATGTTTTGTAGCAGGGAGAAGCATAGTGGCCTTTTCACTTCCCCTGAGGTAGTCTTTCTCTCTCTGCATCAGCGAAACAGCAGTCAATATGTAAACTAGACCTTATAAATAGTTGCAGATTTATATTCCTTCTGGTTACCATGAGGACTTAAGAAATCCTAACCAAACAATTTCAACCCAGAAAACGTAGATTAGGAACTAGAAAGTAGACAAAGGAAAAGCAAGTAAGGAAATGTGAAAGGGAGTCCAGGATGAAGTTAAAATCAAATACTTAGTCCCAGAAGGTCTGGCTGCTGGTTAGAAAATCATCATCATTGTATGAGTCACAGCATCAAAAAAAAAAAAACAAAAAAAAACAGTCAGCAAAGTTTTCTGCAGAAGCCCAAGTTTTTGTGATCATTAGATCAAAACTAATGTCCCTGTAGGAAAGAACACCCTGTGAAGTTATGGTCCACACCCTTTTCTGTAAGTTGAGGGATAATTTTCGTACAATAGTCAAGAGGGCCTCAAGCTTCTCCCATGTCTTTGAGACATTTATTGTCTTATTGAAATGCTCAGCTCAAGAACAAGACAACTCAGTAGTAATAGTGATTAATCGGTGTCTTGAGGCCCTGTGTTAAACTCCTCGCTTGCACAGTGGGTATGATTACGAATCCCAATTTTACAGTAAGAGGACTGAGGATGGTTAGTTGGCTAGTTGGCTGATTGTATAGATGGTTGGTCAGGTGGCTGATGGGTAGAGCAGTAGCTTGGATAGTTGGTTGGCTCATTGGTTGGTTGGTTAGGTAGTTGGTTGATTGGGTAGATGGTTGGATAGTTGGTTCAACAATTTTATAGCTAAAGCCAGAGACAGTAATCTTCCTAGAACCCACATTGCCTCAGTGTATCCTCTGATAAAAGCAAATGGAAATGGATTTCCACCTAGAGTTGGAAACATCCAGTGAATGTCTGTTATTCAGTGACTGCTTTCACAAGTGGTCTAACATGGTGGTTGAAGGCAAAACTACAGTTACACTGACTAGCTTCAAGTTGTGACTCTGACAGTAGTAACATGTGTGACCTTGGGCAAGTTTCCAAACCTTTCCATGCCTCAGTTTTCTCAACTATACAATAGGGATAGAAATACCCACCTCACAGAGTAATGGTGAAGAATGAATGAGATGAGATGTGAACAATGCATGCTATGGCTTCTGGAGATGGTAAGCATTCAATAAATGTTAGTTATAACATTTTTAAAAAACTCTAAAGATATTTTCTTCCATGTTGTGGTTTCAGGTTGCTGGATTTGAAACCTCAGACGGCAATAGTATGTACGCTTTGGGCAAGTGACAATTTCCCCTGGGCATTGTAAGCACAGGCTATGACCTCTTCCTCACTACTAACAATATTCTTTTATCAACTGTTGGGATAAACCCCTATTCAAATATTTAAAGGTCCCCATGCTTTGAAAATTAAGTCTTGAAGTTGCCCTGATTTCTGAACTTGATCTAATGCTCAAATGTCCTGAGTTTGTGCTTTGAAGCTGTCATCTGTTGTCCTCTTTGACATTTACATTTTGGCTCCAGGCAACCAGTCGACACTGGTGTTTTTTTTTTTTTTTTCCCATTTATTTATTTTATTGCATTTTAGGTTTTGGGGTACATGTGAAGAACATGTAAAATTGTTACATAGGAACACACGTGGCAGTGTGATTTGCTGCCTTCCTCCCCATCACCTACATCTGGCATTTCTCCCCTTGCTATCTCTCCCCAGCTTCCCACTCCCCACCGTCCCTCCCCTATTTCCCCCCAACTGACCCCAGTGTGTAGTGCTCCCCTCCCTGTGTCCATGTGTTCTCATTGTTCAACACCCGCCTATGAGTGAGAACATGCAGTGTTTGATCTTCTGCTCTTCTGTCAGTTTGCTGAGAATGATGGTTTCCAGGTTCATCCATGTCCCTACAAAGGACACAAACTCATCGTTTTTGATGGCTGCATAATATTCCATGGTGTATATGTGCCACATTTTCCCTATCCAGTCTATCGTCAATGGGCATTTGGGTTGGTTCCATGTCTTTGCTATTGTAAACAGTGCTGCAATGAACATTCATGTGCATGTGTCCTTATAGTAGAACGATTTGTAATCCTTTGGATATATACCCAGTAATGGGATTGCTGGGTCAAATGGAATTTCTATTTCTAGGTCCTTGAGGAATCGCCACACTGTCTTCCACAATGGTTGAACTAATTTACACTCCCACCAACAGTGTAAAAGTGTTCCTATTTCTCCACATCCTCTCCAGCATCTGTTGTCTCCAGATTTTTTAATGATCGCCATTCTAACTGGCGTGAGATGGTATCTCAATGTAGTTTTGATTTGCATTTCTCTGATGACCAGTGATGATGAGCATTTTTTCATATGT